GTTTAAGATTAGCATAGAAAACATACAAATCACAACTTTTTTATTTTACATTACTTCGAATTTAGTAAAAGCTACTTAAAGAAATATTAGACATTATTTCTCGTTGGAACGATACTCTTAACTCACAAATTTTATTATTTGTTCGTCAAAATCCCACAAGCGTATGGGTTCGTTGTACAAGTAATAATTGTGATGAGAGAGTTATCGTCCCACAGGAAATAAAGATTAATTCTAGTATATTTGATATATTTAAATTCATGTTTATAATCGAAAGACAATCGGATGAATAGTTAAATAATTTTTATAACTAAAACTTGTGAAAATAATGAAAGTTAGTTTAAAAATCAAATATGCGAACGTATTGAATTTTCGACGCCATTGATCAATTTTTAGTTCTAATTCTCAACCATTAATAATTATCTTAATTCATACAATTACGACGATCGATAATTTCACTTTTATTTATTATTCTTTTTCAAGATATAATAAACCTATGTTTACCATGAGACGATCCTATTCTTAGTCCGAATTTATATGGCAAACATGCATTGACATTTAGGATTATCACATATGATCGCACACGCCATAAATATTATTTCTAACATTTATTGCCCGTGTGTTACAATAATAGTGTTCTACCTATCGTGAGTTTTTCAACACTACAAATAAACAACTTATTGTCCTGATGGTGCGCAAACATTAAAACAATGTAAATAGACATATTAATGAAACCACAATGTAAATATTAAAATAAAAACACAGGTCTCGAATTAAAACTAAGAATTAAATAATTTTGTCATTCATCCAATACATGAGAAAAATTAGCCTATCATACTGTTGGAATTAAGCACATAAAAATGGAAAGATATCACCGAGAGTCGACGAAACGTGATTAATCTTCAAGCTACTTGCAGAATTATTAAAGAGAGTTGCACCAAAATTTTTTTTTACCACCGCCTCTTTTTGCATGTATGAATATCTAATTTATTTCCCCAGTTGCTGCCTTATTAATTCTGTAATTTTTTCTTTTCCAGATTTGCAGCCGTCTTGTATGTATATATGTTGGCCCCCCAAAGCTGCCACTTTCTTCTTCCAAAGTAGCTGCAATGTTTTCAATGTATACCTCTCTTCAATTTTCTGCCCAATTGTCGCCTGGTTCTATGTGTATATATTTCCAATTGGCATTCAATTTTCTTTCCTCCAATGTTCTGCCAATGTTTGACTTCCAAAATTTCTTTTGCTGCCTTCAAAAACCAACTTCAATTCTACCCAATTTTTCTTCCAAAACTGTAGGTATGCGTGTAAAATGTCTCCCTCCTTTTTCTATGTGATGTGTATATCTCTATTTCCAGCAGCCAGCCCTCCCTTTTTCTCCAAATTCCGCTGCCCTTTACGTGTTTCTATGGGTATATATATATACACACACACTAAAACCAGCACCCTTTTTGTATTTTTTGCAACCCAATTAAACTTGGTGAAATTAATTGGACCTGCCCACTTTCTTGTGTAAAACAGGATTCCAATTGGTTAATAAATATGAATCCAAATTTAAGTTCAAAACTTAGACCCATTTAATTTATTATTTTCTTCATGTTCTTCACTTTCAAAGTGTGAAATCTGATCTGCAACTTCTATTTAAAAAATCAATTTATTATTTTCTTTTCCAATTGCTTCAAAACGGGTCGGGCACTGAAACGAACAAAAAATAATCTAAATTAAATAAAATTGAATAATTTCACAACATAAAAGTTTAATAAAATTGTCTAAATAATTACACAAATTACACTCATCAAACACCCTCAAATTTAAACTTTTGTTCGTTCTCGAACAAAACTATAACCTAAATAACAACAAACACACAAACATGAAAAAAATATTTGGTTGAACTGTTTAATTTTTTACCTTAGGATTTGAAATCATGGCGTTAAATCTACAAACTAATTCAAAGTTATAATACCAAACTAATATCCACTTTTCCAATGCAAAACCTATGTGAGTGTGCGAAGAACTAAGTAGACATTAATGAATTCATAAGTTGTTCCAATTTTCGACCCTCTATGGTTAAATATATTCTTTCATCTTTCGTAAAATTCACACACCTCCGAACTTAATCTTTTTCAATTTTTTCCCAGCGTGTGATCTAAAATTGAATTTTTCATTACCATCCTTACCCTCTCCAATTTAGACAGACGTCACTAGTTGCAAGTCAACACATCAATGAACTAGGATTCTCAAATTATTTGATTGCTTCGACCGTCAAGATTCAATTACGTTAATTATCCTTTATCGAAAATCAAATTCCTTCAAAAAAGTGTTGGGACTTACAAGGCATCTAGGGCCCTTTTTATTTTTTTTATTTCCATTTTTTTGCTCTCTCCCTTAAGCTTTCTAAATGATCCATGTAGCAAGCATTAGGCTGATGACTCACAAGTTAGATGGCTTTAGAGCACCAAGTTTTCAAATACCCTTACAGTCTTAATAACCCGAATCAAAAAGGTTTCGAAAATAACAAATTTTTTTTTTGGGCAACTTCATCTCTGATTGCTTCCTAAATGACCCATGTAATGAGTTTTAGGCCGATGACTCTCAAGTCAGACGACTTTATGGCATCAGGTTTTAAGATATCCTTGCAGGCTTAATTATCGAGTCATAAAGGTTTTAGAAAGAAATTTTAAATTTTAAAATATATGCCTCGATTAGTGCAGTGTCCCTTATTACACACCTATTCAAGCAAACTGACCTCCAATTTAAGGCTTTCACCCAATTTTATTCTATTAATCTCAGACAATCCACACAAACATTTTCACTTAAGGAATCTACATTCACATCCGTATTTTCCTACTACAGCAAGATCTCCCCAAACTGTAATGAATTTGGTCTAAGAATAAATAATTAGTATAGTTTTGGGTAAAGTATCTATGGCCAACTAATTCAATCTATCAAGTGCATGAATCAACTCATTTCATTATAATGTCTAACTCAGTTCTGATGCATGTATAATATCAAGTTTTGCAAGTTCAAAAACTTGTTCGTGTGAAACCCGCAAGCGCACGAGATCGTTGACAAGTAATAGATATGATGAGTTAAGAGTTATCATCCCACGAGGAATAATGTTTAATTTTAGTTTACTAGTCACTATTAAATTCGAATTATGAAAAACAAAAGTGAATTTTTGATTTTATTTATACTGAGCTAATCTAAGAAATATAGAAAAGTTGGATTTTTATCAAATTATGGAGGATTTTATAGGATTTCGACTCTGCCTATTGCTATCTATTTCAATTCATGATTCGTAATCTAATTCTGTTCATGTGTTTTGACAATCGATAGCGCTAATTATTCAATGCTCTTTTCCAAGACAAATGAACATATGATTAACACGCCCTGATCCTATTCCTAGTCCGAATTCATATGAAAATCAAACATTTAATTTAGGTTATTTAAGTGATTGCATGTGTGAAAGAGATTATTCCTAATTTTAACTACACGTGTTAATTTTGTTGCGTTCTAAACTTATTGTGAGTCTCCTAACACTACAACAAACAATTAATTATCTAATTGGTGGTCAATCAATTAAATAATGCAATGGGTAAGCAAAATTAATCAACAAACTCAATAATTAAACTAAATTACTTGTCTTGAATTATAAATAAATAAAAATAGGGTTCATCTCATCCAATATATGAAATGAATTAGCTTAGCATGATGTTGAAATTAAATTAAACACATAAAAAAGGAAAGACATCACCAAAAATAGACGGAACATTATAAAATTTTCCAATTTTCAGCCCAATTTAACCGCTACCTTTATTGATAGAGAAGTCCACTTCCAGCATTTTTCACAATTTCTGTTATACGGGATGTATGAGTATGCGTTCCAACAGCAGCCACCAAATATCCTCCAACCTTTCTTCTCTTATTACATGTGAGTCTCTCTTTTAAGGTATATATAATTAATTCTCCAAGGCAGCCTTTTCCAAGCGTATAAGTCTTTTTTTTCCAAGTTGTGTGTCAATTTGTGTATTCTTATGTACCAAAATCAGCCCACACAACTATCTATTCTTGGTGTAAGTTTTTAATGCATGTGGAATATCTCTCCTATACGTGATGTGTATGCATATAAATTCAGCACAAAACACAATGTTTTTCCTCCAAATTCCAGCACCTTTTCCCCCTTTTGGTCGCCGCCCAATTCCTCTCTCAAATTTTTCTTTTTATAAGCACACAAAAATAACGCACAAAACAACATACGAAAACCAAAAACACAAAGTGTTTTCCATGTTTTCCACCCCCAAATTTAAACCCTACATTTTCCTCGATGTCCTAAGACATAATTAAGAATGTAGAGGGATGGGGAAGAAAAAGATGAAGGTACTCCCCGAATTTTTCTATTGAACATGGAAGATACTGTAGGTGACAGCTTGACAATCTTTCTCACCATACTTTCTCCTTGGTCTATGTAGATTTGAGTGTTCCACAACGTCATGTTCGTGCATATGGCAATCAAATCAAACATTAGAGAATAAATAATCTAGAACATGCATTATTAGCCCAAACACTCGAAATAACCAACATTATACTTAAGGGCATCAGTGAAAACATGATCGGATGATGATACCCTATAAATTTAAAGTGCCTAAATTTAATGCAAACTAATAATTAAAACAAATCTATATGCAATTCGATAAAGAAAGCAAAATAAATAAGGATTGAAAAATTGGGTTGTCTCCCAATAAGTGCTTAATTTATAGTCTTTAGCTAGACTTGATTGTTTTGGCTATTCATGGTGGTTTGAAGAGGGAATTTTCAGCTCTGCATTTTATACATTGATTTCACTTCCTTTTTTCATCTTTCATCCTCCACACAATTAAGTTTCCATCGCTGTCCCTACCACCAATTTCACCTTCATTTGGCCTGCCTTTGTAGCTCTCCCAATGATCAACTCGTTGGCAATCCTCAAAGTATGATGGTTGCTTGATTGGATTCTCCATGGTGAAGCTCTATTGTTTATCCTCCACCCTCAAGACAATCTCATTAACATCAAAATCTAGCAAGGCTCGACTTGTAGACAAGAATGGCCTTCCTAGAATTATTGACATCTGAGATGCCTCTTCAATATCGAGGGTGATGAAGTCAACTGGAAAAATAAGTTTTCCCACCTTGATAAGCATATCTTCAACTATTCCGTAAGGGCCTTTTAGTGATTGGTCCGCCAGCTGAAGGATAATAGATGCCGCCTTAGGATCTCCTAATCTCAATTTTCTATAAAGAGGTAAGGAAATTAAAATTAATACTCGCTCCTGAATCAATTAAATAATTTATATTATTTAAATTTCCTATAAAGCAAGGTAGAGTAAAATTCCCTGGATCTTTAAATTTTGGAGGGATCTTGTACTGGATGATCGCGCTGCACTCTTCAGTTAGTGTTATTGTTTCATGTTCTGGTAGCTTTCTCTTTTCAGTCAACATCTCCTTCAAGAATTTAGCATAATTTGGAATTTGTAGAATAACGTCAATAAAAGGAATGTTGATGTGAAGTTGTCTGAGGGTGTTCCAGAAATTCTTAAATTGTTTGTCCATTTTATTGTTTTGTAACCTTTGAGAGAGTGGAATTAAAGGTGTGTTTTTATTGCTAAGAGCGATCGCCTTAACCTGTGGATTGTCTGACTGTTTTTCTTGATTGACATTTGATGATTTTTCAAACTGACCCACTTGTTCTTCCCCCGAGATAGGTACTCGATTCTCCTCAATCTCTTTCTTCTTCACTGTGATTTCTAGCAGCTGAACTCCGCTTCTCGTTGTGATAGCCTGGACTTGTTCATTTTTAGGTTGTCTTTGAAGCCTTTGAGGGAATGGGATAGGCGACACATAAGCTCGAACAAGTGTAACAGGCTTGATCGATGGTGTCTTAATAGTTACATAATTCATAGCTTCAACTGCTAATACTTGTTCCTTTGGATTCTTTTCTGTATCCCTCGGCAGTGTACCTTGAGCTCTATAGGCTAATGCAGCTACTATCTGTCCCACCCGTTTCTCTAAGTTATGTATAGAGGCTTACTATTCTGTATCACCGTCTCGGTCTTGGTGACGTACTTGACAAGTAGATCTTCCAATGATTGTCTTTTTTCTTCTTGTTGCTAAATCGCTAGTGGATTGCCCCTTATTTTATTTACTTGATCTGAATTATCAACCCACGCGTAGTTAGGATCCTTGTTCAAACTCGGATGGTAGTTGTATGGGTAAGGTCCATTTTGCCTCTAATAGTTCTGTGTATAACTGACCTCTACTGGCTGACCTATGTGAGTAGAAGCCAAAGGGCCACTTGCAGTAATGTGATCTGCCCCCACAAACTCCGCCCTTCGGAGCTGGAGTTTGTACCATATTCACAGAATGAGTCAAAGAGTCAAGCTTTCTAGTTATTGCCTTCATCTGTGTTGTCAACGCTGTCACTACATCCACCTTATATATGCCAATTGTTTTCCTCGGGACTTCCCTGTCGCTCGGCCACATCGATTGATTTTCTGCTATCCTCTCATACAGCTCATAAGCATCGTCCACGTTTATAGCCATTATCGATTCTCCTGCTGAAGCATCTACCATATTCTTGAATTCTTGGCGTATTCCATAGTAAAAGATGTATATTTGTGCTAATGTCAAGATTGGGCACTTCCTCAATAAGTTCTTATACCTTTCCTATGCCTCTGGATAGCTCTTAAGGTCTTTCTGCTTAAAAGTGTGGATTTCATTCCGAATTTGATGAACTTGAGTTGGTGGAAAGAACATCATGGTAAATTTTTGAATCATGTCATTCCACGATACAATGCTCTCAAGAGGTTGTGACATCATCCATATTTTTGTACCTTCCTTCAAAGTGTGAGGAAATAGACGCATTCGAAATACATCCCGTGACATCCCCTCGTGGCTAATTATATCACACAGCATGGTAAAAGCTTGAATGTGTTCATGTGGATTTTTCGTAGCTTTCTCGCTGAACCTGATGTCTTGATGCTTTTGAAAGAGGTTTATGACATCTGGTCGAATGTGGAAGTTAGCTTGTCCAAAGGGCGGATAGATGATCGGAGGTTGAATCGGTGCTGGCACTGGATTTACAAAATATCTCACTAAAACTTATCCATAATTTGCTACTGCCCTCAGCTGATCTGGCTGAATTGGCTGAGGTAGTGGCAAAGAGTTCTAATCTTGATTCAGATGTTGGTTTTCTGCCATATCTCTCGCTTGTCTTCGCTCTCTTCTTCGCTGTCTGAAAGTTCTTTCGATTTCAAGATTTACTGGAAGAAGCTCGATCTCGTCAGAATTTTACATAAACTATGATTTCCTGAAAAGAGTAAACCAAGAGACTTAGATCGTTAAATGAATAGCCTTAAACAAATAAAGTAAAAATAAAAAAGAAAAATGAATAAAAACTTCAAATAAAAAAATAACTAATAAACTCAAATTAAATAAATTATTCTCAGGCAACGGTGCCAAAAACTTGCAGGTTTCACCCGAACAAGAGGGATAATTTTGTGTGGTCTGATGTAGTAGAAACAACATTCAATAATCTTAAGTTAGCTATGAGCTCCACTCCAGCGCTAACTTTAGCCAACTTTGAGCAACCTTTTGTTGTGGAAACCGATGCATGTTATGGAGGCATAGGAGCAGTATTGATGCAAGATAGGAAGGCCTTGGCATACATCAGCAAGGCTATCGCGCCAAGGAGCTTGGAAATGTCAATATATGAGAAAGAACTCTTGGCTTTAGTTATTGCGGTGGTGAAATGGAGGCATTACTTGGAGGGTCACCATTTAATCATTAAAACCGATTATCAGTCCTTTAAGTTCTTGCTTGAGCAAAGGATAACCATGCCCTTATAGCAAAAGTGGCTTATTAAATTAATGGGTCTAGATTACGAGATTCAGTACAAAAGGGAGGACAGAAAACGTGGTAGTAGATGCACTCTCTAGGAAGGTGGAAAGTGATGGGGAATGTACTACTATTACTCAATTAATACCAGCATGGGTAGAAGAGGTGATTTCTAGTTATGAAGGAGACGATCTTGCTGAACAAAAAATCCCAGCCCTGCTTCTTGATGCAACAACGGAGCCTAATTATCAATATAAAAATGACATTCTTAAGTATAGGGGTAAGCTATATATTGGTAGTGAAAGGGATATCAGGAAAAAATTAATCCAGACTATGCATGCCTCACAAGAAGGGGGACATTCCGGAATACAAGCTAGCATATTTAGAGCTGGACAAAATTTTTATTGCCCAGGTATGACACAAGAAATTAGAAGAGAGGTACTACAGTGTGCATATACCATAAATGTAAAGGTGAACACTTGCCATATCCCAGCCTACTATAGCCCCTACCTGAACCTCAGCATTCATGGAGTCATATATCTATGAACTTCATTGAGGGGCTACCAAAATCTGAAGGGAAGGATGTTATCTTCGTGATAGTAGACAGATTCACTAAGTATGGCCACTTTCTCACACTTTCTCATCCCTTTACAGCAAAAAAGGTCGCACCAACTGTTCTTGGATCACATTTATAAACTCCATGGCATGCCTCGGAGTATTATCTCTGATAGGGACAAGATTTTTACTAGCACCTTCTGGCAGGAGTTGTTTAAGCTCATGGGAACTACTTTACAGCTCAACTCAGCTTATCATCCACAAACAAATGGCCAGACTGAGAGTTTGAATCAATGCCTTGAGCTATATCTCAAATGCATGACACACCATAATCCTAAGGCATGGGCTAAATGGATACCTTTAGCTGAATGGTGGTACAATACCACTTACCATTCAGCCATTAAGTAAACACCCTTTGAGGCACTATATGCGATTCCACCACCTGAGTTAACCATGGGACCTTATCAACAAACATGTGTTGCTATGGTGGAAGACATCCCGCAAGAGAGGTATAAAATGGATCAGCAATTAAAAGAGAACCTAGCACAAGCAAAAGCCAGAATGAAAATGTATGCTGATAAAAACAGGTTCGAGAGGCAATTTGAAAAAGGAGATTGGGTGTACTTGAAATTACATCCATATCAGTAGCAGTCCATGGCCAAGAGGATTTATCAGAAGCTGAGTCCTAGATACTATAGCCCTTATCAGATCTAAAAGAAGATTGGAAATGTAGCATACAAACTAGTACTTCCCAACCGAGCAAAAGTTCATCCTATATTTCGTGTATCACTACTAAAGCAGAAGATAGGAAACAGAGCAATGGTTGTAGAGCAGTTACCATCTGGAGAGGAGGTGGTGGAACAAGCAGAAGAAGTGCTTCAAACAAGAATTTTCAAAAGGGGGAATCATGCAGGAACTTAGTGGCTAATTAATTAGACTAGACAGACCACAGAAGAGGCTACTTGGGAAGATTCACAGGTCATATAAAAGAAGTATCCTAGTTTTAAACCTTGGGGACAAGGTTTAGATAAGGAAGAGGGATGTCATGATGAAGAGGCAGCAACTCAATGGAAGAAGTGGGAAAGAATGAAGAAGAGAACCAACCGTAACTATATTTCAAATGGGAATAGAGTAGGGTCCACACTTGGCAATTAAGTGTTGTTTTTGTCTATTACGTTTCTTGTATTTGAATACTTTTTTTTTTTTTTAATTGCAGTAGCATGTATATAGAGACTAGACGAGTGAGGCAGGGAGATTTTGGATGTAAAACCAATTCAATTAGTCTATTTCCTCTTCTGAATTTCTCTCTGCTATTCTCCTTCTTCTTCTATTAATTTCTTCTTGCCCATTTTCCAATTTGTGATTATTTCTGAAGTTGAGTTTGAGTTGCAGCTTCCTTGGACTGTGGCCTTCAATTTGGTACTGATTTTGAGTGAGTTCGTCATCAACTTGAGCTTCACTCATTACACGAATATACATTCCTAGTTAAATAAAACAAAAAGAATAAAAAAAATAAAGAACTAATTTCAACTATATGCCCAAGTTTATCAAAGAAGTGCAAACTAGTCACAAATAAATAATTTAAAATTTAAAAAATCCTTCCTCTCCCACTTAGCCCTCTTCCCAGTTACCACCATCGTCGCATTTTGAACAAAGAAGATCCCATTTTAACTTCAAACATCCCGCAATTGATGCATTTTGAACAAAGAAGACCCCATTCAAACATTCCCAATTCGAGTACTATTTTCACTTTTTGGGCCAAAAATCAAGCACCAATTTTGTGTGAAAAAACCACCATTAATCAGTTTTATTGTCTCAATTCAAAGTTTCTGATTTCTTCACGAATCATAGATCTATAGACTCAATTCATGAGCATTTACTAACTACCAACGTAATGACAAATATAACATCTCTATCTCCACTTTTATTTATTTTTTATGTTTTGGTGAAACTCGGACTTCTCTCTCCTATCCATGATATCTGATTTTTTTACCCTCTTTTTTTGCGCTTCCCTATTTTTATTTTTATTTTTATTTTTATTTTTTTACTCATGTTTACATAAAATGTGTAAGTGTTTTTATTTGTGGTGTCATAAATATATGGATGTAAATTTGGGTTATTTATGTCATTATTATATGTGATCATTTTAGTAAATAAGAAAAATATTTAAAAAATATAGTGCAATTAATAAATTTTATGGTATGAATATAATCATCTTAAAAGAAAATGGGATCTTTCGTACCTCAAATATCATATAGGGGGTTTTCAACTAATTTAAAAATGTAGAGAAGCATTTGAAAATAGGTTCATACAATGGGGTATTGCTCCAATAAATCTAACTATAATTATTAAAATATATTGTAAAAAAAAAACAGCATTGAATTGGTCAATATTCATATGTAAGAGATTTAGTATGGCATATTTCAAACATAAAAAAAAAAAAAAAACAAATTTCAAACTTCAAAAATCAGATTTATATTAAAATTTATTTATAATTTAATTAATTAAATATATATTAGGTCACATATTTATATAATTTGGTCACAAATTAACAATTTAATTAGTTACTTATTATTTTTTAGTCAGAAATTAAAAAATTTATGTCACAAATTAATTTATTAAACATATGTTTTACTAATTAAATATATTGAGGCCACAATTTCATGTAATTTGGTCACAGTTATCTAATTAATTAGTCACTTATTAACTTTCGAACACTACTTATCAAATTATTTGTCACAACTTATTTCTCGGCTATAAATAAAAAATTTTATAGGTCACGGATTATTGTTCAGTCACAAATCAAAAATTTTACAGGTCACAGAATATTCATCGGTCACAAAATCAACTTTTATTGGTCAAAACTCATTTATTCATTGCAAATTATCAAATTTATTGATCACGATTAATTTCATCGGTCACAAATTAAAAAATTTATAAATCACAGTTTATTTGTATGTCACGGATTTTCAAATTAATTGGTCACAAATTATTTTCAATCAAAAATTATCGAATATTTAGGCCACAAATAACCAAATGATTGGTCAAAGACTGCCACCACCAACACTACCGCCGCCACCACAGCCACTTGCAACCACAACCACAACACAAATAATAGCACGACCATCACTAACATAGCCCCACCGCCAGCAACATGATACAGACTCAACCCAGCAATCCATCACTACCGGCCATGACCACTACCAAAAAATTAGATCCAAATTTATCTATCATCGTCCCCAACCACCACAAACATCACACCAGCCTTGTCTCCTCCACCAAAACCCATATCCCAAACTATAGCCTAAAGCTAGATCCAAAAGTAGAACGTAGCGCAACATCACTGCCATCGCAATCGCCAACATCTCGACATCCAACTACAAAACAACGTCAGCAAAATCAAAGCAAAACCTGATCTAATTAAAATGGCATCGATCATTGTGTTCGTTCAATACAATCTCAGTGTCATCGTCATCGTCTCCACACTACTATCAAAAAATCCCCAAACTCGGCAACATAGTGTCTTGCTGCAACAGCCGACGGTGCTTAGCTAGCAACGATGGGCAATGTTGGCGGCTCCGGTGAAGAGAGACGGTGTGAGATCGAGATGTAGAGAGAGAAAGGAGGGGGAAAATTGTTAGGTTTGGAATGAAAATTATATATTTAATATTTAAAAATAACATATCTAATTTGTGAAATGTGAAACTTGCCATCTGATTTTTGAACTCACTTCTTTAAATTTAGAGTTTTGTGTAATTTCTACTTTGTCAAAAGTCCTTTTAAATAACTATAATTATGTTTTGCTTAACCTCTGACGTCTTCTCGTTTCCCTATCTAATTCTGGTCAATTAATCAGAAATTTCAAATCAATCTTTAAAACTACTTTGTTTTCCAAAGAATTTTTCTTTAATTATTTGTGAAAGTCAGTTTTCCACACATAATGGATTTTTGGGAACCGTATTTTTCATATTCTATAGTTAGAATAATTTCACCAATATATATAAGAAAAAATTAAAAGCAACTTATATTCTATTTAAATGTTTATGCAAAGTGATAGAACGAACTTATATAATATCTGATTAATTCTACATTGAATTTAATATTAGCATTTAAATTAATTATATGGAACGACAAATTTTAACCTCAGTTTGGCAAAAAATTATAGAGGATTATACATAAAGGGTTTTTCCCTGTAAAAATTCACAAACTCCTTGCAGGTGCTGCCTCTGTGGCTGCTTTGTTTGGTTTTTGGGCCAACAATCAATCAAAATTGTCTGAGTGTGTTATCCGTAAAAAAATCTATGAATTAGTCATGTCCATGTAACATCACTTAAATATAAATTTTCTTATTTTCAATCACGCATTTGGATAGACTCACAATTATTATACACTTAAATCTTCTCAAATGGACAAATTACTTTTTAAAAGTTAATCTATCGTACAATAAGGATAAGGATAGTTGCCTGGTGCGGCCCTGGACGTCTAACACGTTTCGGATTATTCTTTTTGAACAAGTTCATAGAGTAGGGCTCAGCATGTTTCAACTTGAAAGGTGCCACGTTGGACTTGGATTGCCTCCAAGGAAGAAAAAGTCAAATGTACGATGTCTTCCTAAGATTGACTCATTCCTTCAGCGCGTGATTTGTTTGCCAAAGCAGCATACACTTGGCATCTATATATATTATAAAATACACCATCAACCCCAACACCCTACTCTATCTCTCTCATTCATCCATTTTTCTTGATTTTCCATAAGCATCCAAAACCAAAATTTTTTTTTCTGTTTTCATTCTCTCAGCTGAACCTATTTTTGCCAAATATGGAAAACTTTTTGGGTTTGCTAAGAGTCAACGTCCTCAGAGGAATAAACCTTGCTAAAAGAGATACCAGAAGCAGCGATCCTTACATCATTGTTAAGATGGACAATCAGGTAAACAAAAGATTTTTCAATTCCTTAGTCATCAGTTTCAACTTTTCAGAATTTAGCCAAAATTGCTAACTTTGTGTATAATGGAACAGAAACTGAAGACTAGTGTTGTGAAAAAGAATGTCAATCCTGAGTGGAATGAAGAACTCACTTTATCGATTACTGATCCAAATCTTCCAATCAAGCTGGTAACTTCTTCGTCTTCTTCTTTTTCTCCCAATACATTGCAATGTTAGGATCAGCTGCTACATATGTTACCTTGTCAAATTTCTCCCTTGAATTCTCAAGAAAGGATCTCTATGCATTATTCTAGTGATTCTTATGATAGATGCTTTAAATTTATTGCAGGAAGTTTATGATAGAGATAAGTTCACTCCAGACGACAAGATGGGAGATGCAGAATTTGACATCAAAACATTTGTCCAAGTTTTAAGGATGCGCTTACAAAACATTCCTAGTGGAACCGTAATTACAAAAGTAAAACCAAACCGTCAAAACTGCCTAGCCGAAGAAAGCCCTATTACTTGGGAAAATGACAAAGTAATCCAACATATGTTTTTGAGACTTAGAAATGTCGAGTGCGGTGAAATTGAACTCCAGTTGCAGTGGATAGAAATCCCAGGCTCCAGGGGTTTGTTGTGTGATTCATAGTTGTCAAGTTATGTTGTACAGAACTAATTGATTTGTTTCTTAGTTAAAATACTCGTAAATCGAAGTCAGATGCAGAATCCATTTTACGTTCTTCCTTGAAAATTGTTATCCAAGAGAAAGTTACAGTTGATTTTACTTTCGTAAGGGTCTTGTGTAAGAATGTAAAATTGCCTTATTGTCGAATACTGTAAGTATTGCAGATTTCCAACTCTTCCATGCATCCTATTTTGATATCCAAGTTTCTGACTTTCTTAAATGTTTCCTCCCTTGTTTTTCCCTTCCCCGTCCCCCATCTCTATCAACTGCATTATGGCGAATCATTTTCTCTTTAAGTGTTATTGAGAGTTGTGGTGAATTGACAACAAAAAGAAAGTATATGGTGCTCAAATACAATTAAGCAATTTTATGCTCTTATCAAATACAATTAAGCAATTTTATGTTCTTACCAAGAGCATTATCTAATCTTGGATTATTCATATTCAGCACACAGACTTATTACCATCGTACTACTTGTTGACCTCTAAAAATGGCTCTTCCACGTGGCCAACTTGTAGCTACTCCACGTATTCCTCCCTACGAAATGAACAAACTGTCAGGCGCACACGGTCGGAACCAACGGGGGTGGCGGCCGTATACATTCCGACGGTCAAGTCAGGTTTGGGTGGTCGGAACAGTGTCCAGGGACTAGTCAATAATGGGGGAGGAGAATATATAAACTTGTTATGGAGTGCTATCTATTGAGAGTTTCATTCCCTTTGCCTCTGGCCAATCTTTGGGTA